AGGAGAGAACTTTTAGGAGTGTAAAAAAATAGTCAAAAGTGAAGTTAAATAAGTACAACAGGAAAGCTATACAGCAAGCCGAGACATAAAAAGGTACATGGTCTCACAAATGAATTCCAATACTTCAACAGGAAAAAGGTGCAACTCCTGCCATTAAAAAAAGAACTCACAGTTCCTCATCCTCTGATCCCATCTCCTGGTAATGTTCACTTTCACCGTCCCTTTCTCGCTCATCCTCAGAAGGCATGCTCTCCCCTTCATCCTCCTCCTCATCGTCTTCTGAGGCAGCAGGACTTGGCTGTTGGCTGAGTCCAGCAGCAGCAGCCCTCATAGCAGCTAATGCTGCGGCCTGTGCTCGCTGTATTTTCAAGGCCTCTGGTTCTGTGTCGTCTGTGCCATTTGCCGGATAACCCCCGTCAGGAGGAGCCCCCACTGGATCCTGCTGAAGCTGCCTTGCCTCCATCTCCTGCTGCAACCGCGCCCGCTGCTGGCGCTGTAGCGTCTCCATCACCGCCTGCAGCTTCATGGCACGGTGAGGCGGGCGAGGGGGGCCACGTAGTGCCTCCTCCACCTTCTGAGGAAACTGACACTTGCCAACAGAGACCTGTGGGGTAGCAAACCAATAGTCCAAGCACCCAGACAGAAGGGAGGACTCAGCTTGGGTAGACTAAAGTTCTGCTCATGCTTTAGCCTCTGTTCTCCTTCCAACAACTGCCAGAAAGGATGTCCTGCTTTAAAGAAGGCCAGTATCAGAACCCTGAAAGAGACCAAAAAAATTATAATTAAAAGGAAATAGATTGACACATGAACATAAACAAAATAAGCTCACCATAATATAAAACATTGGAGCGCCCATTGCTGCATTGTTTTTGTGGATATCCAAAAACTTGATATGCACATGCTTGCTCCAGATGAGTGCCTCGCCAATCAATAAAGGAAGTGTATGACAACCCTGGAGCCTGCAACCTCAAATACAAGCCAGCAATAGCAACTCCATTATTTCGCTTCTGAAAGATACCCTTTAAAAGCTGACCTAAAAGCTTGCTGATCCTTTGTAATGGCTGCAGCCGGTTTACAGACCCTGGTTCCCAAGCAGATATTTTAGCACGAGAGTCCCAAGACATACAAGACAGCGTTACATAAATTAACTTCATGGTTTCAGAGGACCAACCCTTGAATTATTCTTCTGGATACACTCCAACCAACAACAAATAAATAATAATTTGGGGCACAGCTCAACAGATTTACTTAAAGTGGACCTATCATCCAATATAAATGTTCCTATTAAGTGCTTAAGTAACATCTAAAGCCGGCCCTACACCAGTAGAACTTTTCTTCAATTTTCTAGATGTTAGACTTTTTAGATTTTCGAAAATTAGCTAAAATTGACTTTTTAATTTTCAACTGCAACTATAAAACCCAACCAAATTTTAAACAGCATTCTAAGTCTCTGTTTTTTTTGAGAATTTATTGAGAATTTTCATATAAAAGTTTGTATGAAAATCTACCAGTGTATGGCACAGAGTGGGGTATACACGGAGTGAATTTCGTCTGATTCAGCAGGAAAATCGGCCGAAATCCACTGTGTTGGTGATCCTATTCCATTGGCAGAAGTCGATCCTTAGATCGACCTTTCCCAAAGGAACATATTGGAAAACCTTTAGCCAAACTGTGCTTGCAACTGTTTAGTGTAAATGGGTGAATCAACTAAATTCTATAGCTGTATGGTCAGCTTTAGAGCCCATTCACACCAGGGCGGTTGTGGATCAGCGCGGTTCTCGGAAGGAAGGTTTTGGGAGTTATTAATTGCGTTTCACTGCTGAAACGCAATTAAAAACGCCCAAAACCGTGCTGATCAGTGCGGTTCCATTGAAACCTGTATGGAAACCGCACTGATCAGCACGGCAAAAAATAGTGCAGGGAGCAGTTTGGATGCGTGGACCCGCGCGGTCGCATGGACGGTCCCCATAGCAATGTATGGGATCGTTCATGTCGGTGGATCCGTGCGGTCGAACCGCCCCGATGTGAACAGGGTCTTAGGCATCATTCAGGGTCAGCATCTACTTACTGTAGTGTGATGCTGGCTCTTAAATGACTCAAGCATGCACATCCTGGTACTTTCTGGGGTCTGACACAGATCAGCTTCCTCTCACTTTGTCTCTTGGTAAAAGATTACAATGTTGCGTGTTAATCTGCCACCTATTTAATAGTGCAACTGTCAGATTCAGTTGCACTATTAAAAAAAAGGTTCAAAAACTAAAAATTCAAAAAGATTTTTTTTAAACTTTTTTGTGCATTTTCAACGTATAAATAAAAACAGAAGAGGATTTTAAAATGTCTTCACTTCCTGTCTGGTGAAACTGTAGTCAGCGAAACAGTG